TTTTTTTTTTTTTATTAATATTTGATGCGTTTTAATTGGATTAAAGTTACGAGAGGAATTTATCTTAACGTAAACGTCGCCTCTTCACGAATTCCGTGCATCCAGATGTTAAAACTAACACAAGTTTCCATTTGTTCCAGGCACTGCACGAGCGACTACATAGCCGTATACTCGGGTTCAACAACGTCGAGTCCCCTCCTGAAGATGCTCTGCTTCAAGAACAAAACGTCGTTGACGTACAGCGGCCGGAAACTGTTGGTCGAGTTCAGGTAAGGGAGGAAAGAAACATCGTACACCTGCTTTCAAAGCATCGACTTGAAGTAAAAGTGTATTCAACCGTTTCTCTTATTCGATAACACAAAAGTTTCGAATTCTACCAAAGAATACGAAGAATGGAGAAGAATCGTTTTCTTGCAGAACGGGGCCGGAAGTGCCGCCTTTCGATTACAACGGTTTCGTAGCGACCCTTAATTTTATAGAAATCACTACGGAAGCTCCGACAACCGTTACCACGGATATCACGAATAAAAGTGGTGAGTTCTATTCGATATAGAAACCAGTCTAGATCTTTGTAAAGAGTTTCCTATCGTTTTCGTCTCGATACGATTGTCGATTTGAGAGATTCAGAACAATGACGCGATTTAAAGTGTAAAGGATTCCAATTACAATTTCTCTTATGTTAATAGAATTAATGACTTTAAAACATTCAGAGGTTGTTAGATGATTTATGAAACGAAGAAAAATACCGTTCGTCGAAAAACGTTTTAAAACTTTTAACTTCCATTCCGTACGAACTTAATCATCGACGAAAAAATTTGAAAAATTCACGTTATCTGTCGTTATTCGTTATTCACCGTCATTAAATTTATATTTTGTGCGTGGTACATGGTAAAAAATTAACGAATAATACTAATAATTTCCAATTACCGCAATTTTATTTTTTTTAACCTCTGCCTATCGTCATTTATTTTATTTTATTTCTACGTGTAGAGTAATACGTAGGGAAAAAAGGAACGCGTAACGTTCCAACACGAACGATCGCAGTCGAACGGGATAGTTAAATCTGATTTAACAAGCGCCAACGATAAAAAATGGCGACGATGAAGCGGCCCGTTCGTTAGAGAATCGTGTTCCACGGGGGATTTTTCTGAATTATTCTGAAAAATCCGCGGCTACACTTGCCGCCGGAGATAATTAATTCCAATTCTCGTTTTTATTCGATCAGATTATAACCTATCCGAAACTGGGTCGTTCTTATTTGATGAACGGTGATTTTAACGATTCCACGAATATCTACCCTACAATTTTTTTCCCCCCGACCCATCCAATTTCCCGATCGATGTGCCCGTTTCAAATTAATTCCTCGAGAATTAATTCTCCGCGAATTTCACAGTGGACACGACGAAACCGATCAACGGTGGTGGTTACAACGTGATGTACAGCAATCGCGATCTCCAGGATCATCGTAAAGATCAAGGCACGATATCCGGAAGCTGTGACCTCGAGGTGAGTGGCGAGAAAGTCAGGGCTGGCCACCACGACACCAGAGGGAAACTCAAGTCCACCACGTGCAAGCTCGTGCTTCATGGACGTGCTTACGACACTGGACACGTCTCGTTGACCAGTTACAATCTCAGGTAACGGTGGAAACGCCCTTTAACTTTTATGTTCGTGTATACATATGTGTGTGTATGTGTGTAGTATATATACATATATATTTGTGAAAATGTTTGTGGATGGTGATTTATGTTTTCGAAACAATTTATATAAGATACGTGATCGGATTATATTTATCGAATTCAGGGTATTCAAGCGTATTGAAATATTCTTTTAACGACAGATTATTTCAATGCATATATTCTTTTTTTTTTTTTAATCTAGTAATGCGTTGAATTTTTTAATAAAAAATGGGATGCGATCGTGATAGCGTTTTTCGATCGATTTCGATCGTAGAATGTGAATCGGGAATAATTTGAATGATCGAATAATTGGCATTTTTTGTGTCAAGCATTGTTCCAACGATTAAATGATTTTCGTTAAATTAATAAAAGAGATTGATGAATCGATAAGGAACGGGAGGGGGATTATCTATGGCTTATTCATTTTCGGATTAATATTGTTATACGAACAATATTATATTTGGTCTGAGTTTGAATAAGATTTCATTCGATACAGACTTGCCATTATCCGCTTAAATAATATGTCACGAGCGTATTGTACGTATTATTATCGATTGCGCCAAATTATTATTGGGAATCATTTACATGAAATAATTATTAATCAACATTCGCTTTAAAACGATACTTCGCATAAGCAAACGTTTATTCGGGCATCGAAATTGTTTTTACCGATTCGCAAATATGGGAATATCAAAGGGAGAGAGAAAAAAAAAATTAAAATTATTCGGCAAATTATTGCATTCAAAGCAATAAAGAATTATTCAAAAAAAAACATTCAATGATTCGCGAAATATTGCAATTGCATTTTGAAAAAGTAATTCACGTTTATACGGTTTTACAAAAATGGAAAAAAGGGCAACTCCGAAATTTTAAATGTTCCTCGTGGACCGAGGATAAAATTCTTAAAAAACATAAAAAAAACACCAAAAAGAAAAAAATAGAGAAGTCAAAATTAGTCACATCCAAAGCGATATTACTAAAAATTCGATATTTTTTTTTTTTTTTTAAATTGTCTTTCCCGAAATATCCAAAAATGGACCATCTGAAAATTCCTCAAATTTCTTCTTGGCACTTTTCGTTCCAAATTGGGAAGAAGCAATGTCTACACACGATCTCGAGAATCTTGGACACGGTGTTAAGGCGATTCGAGCGAAAAGCTTTTGTAAGAGAAATGCAGTCACGTAGCGAACCGTGTGCCACAAGCGGCGTGGTCTGAATTGTGCATTTCATTTGTTTACCTTTTTCGAAGGCTCCTCGAGCGAATTCGGCTCCATTCGGCTCTGATCGATCGATCGTACGAAATCCAACTACGGGGGTGGCCGACACTTTGATTTAATTAGCCGGCTCTCGAGTGAAGAAGCTCTTTCGTCGATATATACGGTGTTATGATATATATTAAATAATATTCGAGCTAATAATGGATACTTCTCTGAAACGTGATACAAAGGGGTGAACAGATCGAAGAAAATTTGGAATCGAATAAGGAGTAATCTTGTTTCGTGATTCTTGACGAATATTATTGCGTTTGTATAAAATTTTTTTTTAAATTTGTTTAAAAAAATTTTCATATATGTATAAGCATTTGCAGTTTTGTTATGATTTAAATTTTTCTTATGTTTAATTACATATAGTTTTAAGAGTTTGATAAATCTTTGTTGATGTCAGAAAAATATTCGTTTATTTTATTTGTTTAATGTACAACAGAAAAGTAGAGCAAAGGATTTAAATACGAGTGAACCTTGACACATTTTCCATTCTTATATATTTCTCGTCAATAATTACTCAACACTAAATATATATATATATACACTTCTGCCCATTCTGCCCATAATCTTAACCTATAAAAACAATCTCCGTTCAATTTCAGTAAATTATAAATCACGTTAAAAATGTATAACTTATCCCCCACTCTCATACATCCAAACAACTAACTCATAATAATACAATTCAAGAGGGAACTTTCCGCCTTCCTGATCTCTTTAAACATTCTTGCGTCACCCGTTGCGAAACCCAAGAAGAATCTCGTTTTTCGGCTGCGCGAGTATCAATCAGCATAACTCATCGAAATACTGCCAACTATAGATAGAAACCCATCCAACCCTGCTCGTCCTCTCGGAAGTAATAGATACGAAGTAGTAGTAAATCACACGAGAATGCGGCTGGCTCGTATCCCTGGGATTTTCAATTATCATGCACAATGGCTGCAACTCGCGCGGACCATGCATTCGTGGCTTTGTTAGATATGTGCCCTGTAAGAGAGATGG